CACACTTAGAGCAATTTCCCATCGAACCTTTCTTGCTTAATTTAGATCCATTCTTATTTCCTTCATCAGTTTTCTTTCTCCTTTTTTTGGTTGGCCTTCCAGGCGTTCTTCTCAATTCTGGAGGCAGAATAGACTCCATTTCAGTGACAGGAGTTTATTGCTTAGCACCTATTAAAAAAGAAGAAAGAATTTAGAAAATTAGCATGACATCAATTATTTAGGTATATGTAAATAGTTGAGTAGTTCACCTTTGATAGGACAAATGAAATTAAAATATATTGCAAGCTGTGTGGATTTGTGGTAGCATGTATGAATATAAGGTTCAGGTCGATCATTGTGCAGTTGCATGACTGCTACTGCATGGATACATGGGATGCCTGTCAGGTCCCATTTTCTACAAGAACAAGAGTGGGAGCCCATGCCCACCACATGTTGATTTCCTGGACCACATTCAACCTGATATTTCAACCCTCCAGCATGTGAAGCCCAACACCTATATATATCAATAAAAACAACATAGTTCGATAGAATATTTAAACATTCATAATGGTCTGCACATCTCAAATGGTCTCAACATATCTCAACATATTTCAACAACATATCTTAACATATTTGATAGCATATGTCAGCATATGTAAACGAAATATTAAATTTGAAAAGAGTTACCTAGTTGCTTGATCAATTATAATGTTCAGCTTCTTCTAAATATTTGGACATAATGGCCCGTTAATCTTTTCAGCTGCTTCATATCTGCAAACAATTCTTCTCATAATTTTGGTTCTAATCAGCTCCATCATAGTAAGGATGGGCTTGTCTCTAGCTTCCAAAATAATCTGCACAATATAATTTGTTAAGAGTTATAGAAAAATAAATATATATAAACAGAACTATAATAAGATTACCTTGTTAAAACATTCACAAAGGTTATTGAGAAGCATGTCAGATTTAGTAGTGGTGGAGAAGTGTGCTTTGGACCACTGTTGAGGGTTAAGATGCTTCAGCCACTCAAATGCATCATTAGACAAAGTATTCAATTCTGTTATGGCATCTTGGAATTCTCTACCATAAGTTGCTCTAGCAGCTCTCCATAGTGCATCCTTAAGAGCTTTTCATTTGTGATCTTTTTTGAAGTTGGCATAAATATGCCTTACACAATTCATGGCTTCAGCATTAGGGAATAGCTCTGCCACAACTTCAACAAGTCCCTACAAGGATAACTTAATAAATAATTATGATAATAGGCTTACTGATTTATAATAAATACAAAAGTTAAGAACATAACCTTTTGTCTATCATACATAAAACACCATCCATATGAGTTGTCAATGTCCAAGTCTCTTCCAAGAATTTCCAGAAACCATAACCATGAATATTGATTCTCACTCTCTACAACAGCATATGCTATGGGATAAATTCCACCATTAGTATCGATACCAACTGCTGTCAGTAAGTAACCAGCATAATAACCCTTCAAGAAGCATCTATCAAGGCTGATAATCCTTCTTCAACCTGTTTTGAACCCCTCTTTGCAAGCTTGAAGACAAACATACATTCTTTGAAATAGTCTATTATCTAGTTTGCAAACAGTTGTAGTTCCAGCATTTGTATTCCTTAATTCAAGTAAATATTCATAGATCTTTCCATATTGTTCTTTCAATTTACCTTGAATTATTTCTAAGGCATGCTCTCGAGCCCTTCCAGATTTAGTCAAAGAACAAACTGTCCCATAGTCAGTCATCACACCTTGTTTGAGGGAAGTCAAAGAAGAATTCATATCAGACATGAATTTCTGAATATATTTCATCCCGATGAACTTATAACTGACATTCTTATTTTTCAACAACTTAACACAAGTGTGTTCGGACTCGTAAGTCTTAATCTGCCAAGTGTTCGAATCAGAATCATGTGAATGCAATGGGGAAGCCCATAATTTCCATGGACAACCCTCCCTACAAACTTCTTGTATCTCTTGTTGTCATTAACCTTAAACAAGACAGTTGTTCTATTCACCCTCCCATATTGCCTAATTGCCTCTTTTAAAGTCTCTTTACTACAAAATAATAAACCTTTTTGAAATTTAGGGTTCTCTATGTCAGTCTCTTTGTTGAACTCAGGAAAGATAAGACGGGCATCTAAGTCAGAATATTTGTCACTATTTAATTCCCCTGAATTAACAGGATTAGAGTCAAACATTTAATCAGATCTATTGTTAAATTCATGCCTACCCATGTCCCCTAAAATATTCATCACATCCTCATCTACCACACTAGGTAAACTATTCTCATCATCAAAAGAATTTTCACCATCAGTTTCCTGAAAATCAAAATCTGATTCATCAGATCCATTGTTTTCATCTTCTACCACAACTTCTTCAAAATCAGCTTCAGTCCCTCTAACACCTTTATTACTAGACTTGTCTTTCTTATTGTCCCTTTCAACATTACCCATTTCAGCATTATCCATTTCTACACCAACACTTTCAACATTGTCCTTTTCAACACTACCCATTTCAGCATTGTCTATTTTTACACTACCCATTTTAGCATTATCAATTTCTACACCAGCACTTTCAGCACTATCTATTTCTACACCACCACTTTCAGCATTGTCCCTTTCAACACTACCCATTTCAGCATTGTCCCTTTCAACACTACCCATTTCAACATTGTCCCTTTCTACACTACCCATTTCAGCAATATCCATTTCTACACCACCACTTTCAGCATTATCCACTTCTACACCACCACTTTCATAACAACCACTTTCATTTATACCCTTAACTTGTGCATAGATGTGAATATATCTATTCTTAGGTAAACTCTAAACCATTTTCATTACATCAGAATCAGATCCTAAAGGCATGATGGAGGACTTAGTTAATTTTGCATTTGGCAGTAACCAGAATAATTGTAAAGGAGTAGGGACTAATATTTGCTCAATCATTTCACAAATGTCAAGCAAAGAGATTGTGTCACAATCACACAAGTCAAAATAAGCAATCTTGTTACCAGTGAACTTCATTCTAGGTGAATGTACAAAGGATCCACCGTAATGACACACAACAGAAATTTTTTCATCTTCACGACCTGTAACAAGATTTTTGAATTGATATTCAACATAGTAGGACCCATAACACACATAAACACTTTATCATATGGTCCAATATTATTACAATATTCAACATGCAAACATGTAGGGCCTGTAACAATACAATATTTAGAATATTTATAGTTACAAGCATATCACACATATACACATAAACAATCATAAAGTCAGCATAATTTATCAAATCCTTGTGGTCCACAAGAACACAATATTAACCATTATTTTTCAAACATGTAGGGACCACAACATTACAACATTCAGAATAAATTATTAAATTGCATGGTCTACAACAATATAAAACACTCAACATACAAACATGTCAAAACCACAAAGTCAGTATATCCCACATATTTCAGAAATTTCAACATTCAACATATCCCACATGTCAAAACCTTTACAACATAAAGCATATAACAAAAAAATAGCATGAAAAGTGGATACATGATTTCAAGTGGATATAAAGTGATCATATCAAGAAAATAGCATATAACATAAAGTACATATACTTTATGTTGGACAGAAATCATATAACATATAACATAAAGCATTGCCAGTAGAGTTGTAAAGTTGTATAACATATCATATAAACATGAAAAGTGGTCATATAAACAGAAAATATTGCAAATCTAGTTGTAAAGTTGTCAACAGAAAATCAAAATTACTTCAACATAAACTACATACATTTTCTATCAAAAGAAAATAGAAAACATTGCAAGTAAAGTTGTCAACAGAAAATCAACATTATTTCAACATAAACCACATACATTTTCTATCAACACAAAATCAGTACAGTTGTCAAAAATCAAGAATCAAGAGTAATATAAAACAAAATAATCGACATTATTTCAAAAAAAAAACCCATCAAATTTTCTGGCAAAATTCTAGGTTAATCTATTTTCTCTCAAATTGAAAATGCAGCTTACCGTAAAGCATAACGTTGTCCCTTTTTTTTCCGTAGCCTCCATGTCAGAACCATCTTCACTTTGAACCCTAAAAATTTCCTCAAACCCAATCACTTCGAACCCCTCTTATATCCAAGTGTTGCTCGTTATTTTCTCTTAATCGCTTTCTATGTTTCCTCTATTTGTTTCCTCACATTTTCGGTTTATGGTTTTCTCAAACACCCTCTGCAACTCTCTGAAACTGCTTCATTCGTGAAGGAGGAAGTGAAGAATGAAATTAAAATAGAATCAGATGGATCCCCTTTCATTTTCCCTGCTCATTTTATGTTTAATTATTTTTTGGCTAAATTTTTGGTAAAACACTAGTTAACGGGAGAAGTGAGGTTCTCCACTGTGACAATCAAACCATCCAGGTAAGCATCTAACGTTCCACGTGAGTTTTCCATGACAGTTCCTAACGACTGTTAACGGCCAATGACCATTTTGTGACAAACGATAATGTTAGTAACTAATTTGTAACTTTTAAAACATTAGTGGTGAAAATGAAAACTTACCCAAACATCAGTGACCATTGGCGTAGTTTACCCTTAAATTTATATGTTACTATCTATTTTCACCTCTTCAATACAACATACTCCTATGGAAGCTTAAGTAGAACCAATAGGACAGGCAAAGGCAAACCATATTGAACTGAAGTTGCCTTATAAGTTGATCAACTTTCCCATCTGCAATAATAGATTTGACACTACACATCATCATCAATACAACAATAGGGTTTCCGCAAGAAGAACTGCTGTGCTGTTATCGTTTTAAATTTTGGCAAATTTGGGTTCAATTCCCCCCGCCCCCACCAATGTTGTGAAAAAAAAAACATTCATCAACTCATTATCTCGACAATTTGCTTTATATAATATTTCGAAATAATCTGTGGGTAAATGATAACTCCCACAAGGGTTTAGGGGAAAAACTAAATCAAAGATTTAAAATATGGAAAATCCAAAAACGGCATCAAGGCTTGAGAGCAATGGCAAGCCCCATCTTAGGGGATGCATTCATGGACTTTGGATCGTATTCCGCCGAAAAAGTTACGAGTGACTTGGGCCTCCATTCACGTTGGCAGAGCATTGCAACCTTCCCGTTGTCGGAGAACCGTGTTTTTACCACGGTAAATGGATCCACGGTGTGAGAACTCCCAATGGTGAAAGAGTTTTCATAGGTGGAAAATCTATGAGCCATTTCAGCAGCAACAGAAGTGAAGGGGTTGACAGAATGGATATATGATGCTTTCAATGCCTGTCCTTTATCAGTCCTAAATAGAGAATATACGCATTCAAAAATTTAATGAAGGCTTTCCTGACAGAGGGAAATAAAATGAAATAACAAGGAGCATAAGATAAGCCATATGAAGTCGGCTAACACATCATCTGAATTTAACCTACTGCGACAAACGCTTTTAATCGTTCTTACAGGTATAATGTTCATCGTAGTTCAAGGAAATGCAGTTCTTACACTTTCTCCATGATGCAGAAAATAAAACAATAACACAAAAGATCAACTTCAAAGGCTAGATAAAAAGGGGATTGTGGTCCTCACTAAGTTTCAAAGTTTCATCTGAATAGTTAAGATTCAATTTGAAAATATTAGGTCACTGTAATTTTCAAAATGCAAGGAATGACGTCACTCTGGCATTACAAAGGAAAACACGGTGCTGATATGGCAGGCATATCAGCATTCAACTTGATGCCGATGAATAGTAGGATCACCCTTTTTCTTTCTTACTAATCAATGTCCCTAACTTCAGAAGCCCCTTAACTAACTGCTCTCCCCTTAATTCTCTCTCTACCACCCGCAAATCTATACAGGTCACACAAACTTCTTAAAAAAATGCCATGCAAAAATAGACATTTAGCTCAATTGCTTGTGATTCTTTGAAAAGTTTGCTATGATTTCTGGAGGTGGATGAGCTAGCAGACTTAATCACATTAATCTGACATAAGAAAGCGGAAACTAAAAGAGGAGGCGGGCTATTTCAGATTCAGCCAAGAAACAAAATTTTGCCTAAAAGAGTTATGTGACAAGCAAATTAACTGTCAGTCTTTACTGAAACAAAAGGTGAAAGTACTGGATTTTATTACGTATAAGGTTTGTTGAACCATTTGGTAGAAATCAAGAATATTTTTTGAAAAGCCCAATGACTATCGGAAGACTACCCAAACCTTAAGTATTTCTGGCTTACCTGAAACCTAAATTAATGGTTACGACCATAATACTTGCAAACAACAGTTAGGATCATCTTAATCCCACTTTAGATTTTCTAAAACGCTACAAGATGTTATAAACTACTCATGATGCAGCACTTGCCAACCCAACTGAAGCCTGAAGATATTGACATAAAAATGTTACAGCTAGAATCTAGATGATCTTGAAATACTTACAGAAAAAGAGCAACAGAGAAATCTTGCTTGTTCAAGTTTATCCCAGCAGTACACTTTGTAAAAGAAGCAGAAGCTGTATCAAATCCAACTTCACCACCCAAATAAATCTCGTTGCTGCCGATTGTTGCTGAAAGCTCCAATAGAGGAGTTGGATTCAGGCCAATGCTAGAATCAATGGCAGCATGAGGATGAAGATATTGGACATCCAACTGAGATTGAAGCATATCAAGAGACAAAAATTCAGTTTCTCGAGCATAAAATTATATTACCAACACGTCAAGAAATTGCTAGTTTACTGCCTTTAACCGATTGGTTGAAGTGTTTTGTAAAATAATTTTCTACAAAATTAACTATCAATGATCTTTCTTTTGAATCAACAAAAGAATGGGAGAATAATCTTCCACCGAACCTATTTACTTCCAAATTTTAACATTTTTCCAGATAAAATGATAAACAGAAAGTAGAACTAGGTACCATGTATGAAAAGGAGGCATAATAAAACACAACAATATCAACTACAGCCTTAGTAAATATGTAGTGGACAAGAGAATAGGTAATGCCCAACGGTCAGCATTATCACAATCCCCACCACAGGAAAAGTGCACAGCTATAAAAATAACAATAATAATAATAATACAGGGAATACTTTTGTTACTATGTAAAATTAAGACCATCCTTTTGCATGTATATTGTTAACATTCATGGACTGACCTTGCCGGACTTGTGATCAGGTATCCTAAAACTTAGAGCAGCTTTGGAACATGGCCATGCATCATTGACAGTCACTTTTGTGGACACCTGCAGAAAAGCAAATGAAAAATAAAGAGGAAAAGGGACAAAATTATTGGGATTTTACATAATCAGGATTTAACAACCACCGAATGCAAACAGGTGATGCAGTAAACTGAATCACAAATATGGGGAATCACAAACAAAACATTGGAAAGGATAAATCTTCTGTACATTAGAATAGGTATCAACTTTCACATCCACGGTAGTATTTCCACTCTTATACACAGTATTTATGTCTCCAAAAAAAATTTGGTCCTTCTTGAGCCCTGTGGCTGTAAGCCCCTGCGAAACATTTTAAGAATTACATTAGATGACATAACAAACAAATTGGAGAACAGTTCAATATAGTATTTTGAGAAACAAAACAATTGATGAGCTCTTTTCATTTTTAAGGGAAGTTATCAAAGGAACATTTTAGACAAACTTAGAATCTATGATGGTAAAAGTGAATAAGGTATCAAAATCTTGAAAGTAAATACTTTTTGACCTTCTTCAAGTGCTCGTAGGCTATTTATAAAAATAAAAATAAAAATAAAAACAATCAATAAATATATAGGTATTTAGTTCCTTTGGCCTCCCAATTTAGCTATGTTAACCATCCATGTCTCCTGCTCTGCCAGGTTTTCCAACTTCATTTTCTTATAAGCTTAAATAATATGTTCAACACATTTTTTTTCTAAACTTTTTTCTACCATTTGGAAGTAGAAAACCATACTTGTATCTTATTTCTAAACTTTTAACACTGGTGAGTACTAAAGGGAAACTGAAGGTTAGGTATGTAATACAAGGAAGAGTATATATGACTAATTCATTTCGTATGGGAAGAAAGCAAACAGAAAGTTAAGGGATTGAAGAAAGGGAAACTGAAAGGACAGAACATAGGTGGTTTTTGTTACTACATCCACACACATCTTTATGTAGGTCATCATCCATTTCAATTAAAGCTTTGGCAACCCAAGATCACATGATGTCACAAATAGCGGCCAAATAGCGGAATCGTGGCGTTATATCGCGGTCGCGGCGGTGTCCGAAACCGCTATCGCGGAAAATAACGGTGTGAAGCGGGATCAAACCAATAGCGGCGGATCGCGACCGCAACTTAACGGATCGCGGCCAATCGCGGCAATAGCGGACAACTATTCCGCTATTATTCCGTAATTTTAATTTTTTTATATAAATAAAACAGGTTTTCTTATTAAAAAAATCAGCTCCTTCGAAAAAAATTCACGATCGTGATATCCGCAATAGCATCCGTTATATCCGCAACCGTGATAAACATGACGCGACCGAAAACGTGACCGCGAAAGCTGTTTAAATCCCTGGTCACCATTACAAGTTTCATCCAGTTTAAAACGATAAATCACTAACAAAGAAATTTATTTATTATGTGCCATTTTGGAAGAACAACATTTAGAGGGGATTAGTGCCTCCAAGAGTGGAGTCATTTATGTAGCAGGTTGTGCTTGAGAAATTGGCAGTGAAGACAAAATTAATTAAGAGAGGGGTTTCGGGAATTGTGGATGTTTTATGCCTATTTTGTAAGTTGGCGGAGGAATCTTCCTCTCATTTATTCTTCTCCTGCTCTGTCGCGTGGACTTTATGGAATAGGTTCCTGAAGTTTTGGAGAATCTCTTCGGTCTTTCATGAAAATGCACAAAGTTTTCTTTTAGCTTGGGAAGATTTGAAGTCTAATTCTTTTAGTTGGCCCTTTATTTCGGGCGTCGTCCTATGGACAATTTGGAAATTCAGAAATGCCATTGTGTTTGAAGGGGGAATGTTAGACTAGGTTGATTTATTTTTCACGGCAAGATTTAGGCTTGCTTCTTGGTTCTTAGCTAAGTTCAAAGAGGTATCTATTCCTAAGGATTCTCTCATCAGTGATCCATCCCTGGGGGATTTATGTTTGTCTTTCAGGAAACCGACTGTCACTCAATTGCCTTGGTCCCCTCCTCCCAAGGGCTTCCTCAAAATGAATGTAGATGCAACAATCAGTTGTGAATGGAAGAAAAGTGGAATAGGTGGAATCTTAAGAGATGATGGTGGTTCGATGCTAGGTTCTTTCCATGAGGCTTCTGGCCCGGGTCCGCCTGCTTTGATGGAGCTAAAGGCTATTCAGAAGGGCTTAACTTTCTTTGATTCTTTTCGAGGGTGTTTTAAGAAACGGTTGATTATTGAAAGTGATAGTAAGTTGGCTGGGGAATGGGTTAAGAATATTGATAGATGTCCAGATGTGTATGTTACAATTGTCAAGGACATTGCCGATAAGTTAAAAGATTTGGAGGGTGTAATTCGATGGGTAGCTAGGACAACTAATATTGAAGCTGATGGCTTAGCTAAGGCTGGAATTGGCTAATTAGATGTTGTTTGGGAAGTTTATTTTATGTTTTTCGGGTTGTTCATTGTAAGGGGGGTGATTCTGGTTGCTTTTAAAAATTTATGTATCTTTTATGTTATTAATGAATTCTGAGGCATTCTTTTCCTCCTTCCACTGATTAAGGAGCACCTTCTGACACTCCATTAATCATGAAGGGGTTTTTAACGAGGCCTTTTCTTCTTAACAAAAAAAAAATTGGGGCGGACTCCTTCAGATATATATGCACAACATGAGCAAAACAAGGGAGTAGAAAAAGTCAATGTAAATGAAATTCTCGCTGAGAGTAAGGTGTTTTCTCCTACATCTCAAAGATAACAGTGCATCAACAATTTCTGCCAGTAATTTGCTGCAGAAGATTGCTTAAGAGAAAGGAATTAATATCACATACCAAATGATCCATCCTATGAGCATAATGTCCACATGTGAAAACCTAACAAATAATCGTTCTGCTAATATTTAACAGACTATTCCCACACCATGGCATCAGTGGCATATAAAATCATGGCAAAGCAGAAATTAAGTTTATCAAGTACATTAATCAAGCTCTGTCCAAATACTAAAATAGAGCAGCTCAATAAAAAGGGTCAACAAGTTCTATTGGAGAAACACTACCATTCCAGTGGAGCTCAGCATTGAAAGAGTAAACTTCTGGTCAAAGTTGTAATCTTTTGTCAGGAGGTCTGCATAAACATAATTAGAAATAATTAGAATCTACGAAAGCTAAAAGCAAAACTCAGGTTTCGAAGTCCCTGTTTTGTAACATGACAAACTAATGAATAACTGCAGTAGGTATTGACTAACAGTCATTAAAGGTTACAAATAGCGAGCAAAGTCCTGATAATAAATGTAAGACTGATCTATTAGATAAATTTATCATATTGAGCATATGATACAACTGTTAATCCTCAGTGTACTAGTATAATAATAACTACTTGCTTTGGTTATCTATCACATAAATATAAGCATTTTCTTTGGTTTATTAAGTGTTTTTGAAAATCTAACTGCAGTAGTCTTTCCAATAAACAGTAAAAGCTGCTTATCAGTTTGAGTTGCCAATAAACAGTAATTTCTAGCAAGACCATGACAAGTGCAAGCATATCAAACAATATCTTAGTGTACAATACCGGGCACGGAAAAGTAAAAGGCTAAAGCAACCCATACCTTTGGCTTTTTTGCCTATATCAACAAATGGTGCTGGTCCAACCATCTTGATAGATTGACAACCAACCAAAGCCTGTAAATACCATTAAGATCACATAACCACTTCAGCACATGAAACCTTCTACTTAAGAGGAAAAGAAAAATGGATGAATAAATCACAGAGCAAATGCAAATGGGAAGATAATAAACATTTCCTAGTTCGAAATTCATTTCACATGTACATGTTGGAAGTCCGAACATTTTACTAAAAAGTTCCAAAGAAACCGAAGAAACCACGGCTTATATGAATAAAAGATGCAAAAATTACATATCAGAACGTAAGATTTCGTTTAACATTCTCACCTAAATTTTAGTTCGATACCTCATCACCATAATCATTAAAACAATAACTTCAATATTCGGAAAGGAAGAAATAACTTACGACGAAGATTGAGAGAAGATGATCAAAGATGAAACCGTGCAGCGGCTGCTACCAACAAAGCTTAAGAGGAAGCTATTGGTTTGTTTAATTTCTGTGTTGAAAATATGTGAAAACCCAAAGGTCAATAGTGTGCAGACTCTCTCAGGTACCGTACCAATAGACGGCCAGGGTTTTAGGCTAATTCTTAAAAAAGCGTGATTCGTAATTATTTTTAGGGTAAACTAACTATTTAGTCACATATTTTTAGGTTAGTTCTATTTTGGTCACTTAACTATTATTCTTTCTAAAATTATATCAAATACAACTAACATGGTAATTTTTAATTTTCAATTTATTACCTTTTATTATTATTTAATTAATTTTATTCAACTAATAAAGCACATATTAACACCTTATTAGAAAGAAAATTAAAAAAAATTCAAAGGGATTTTATTTTTCTTAAATTCAAACTTCACTCTTATAAAGTCAAGTAGTCGTTCATCTAATATTTATATAAATTAAATATTAACTTCTATATGTTATAAATTAATTTTTACTCTAATTTAATGGTTAAGTATTTAAATATTTTTATATAACGTCATAAGTTCAAATCTCATATCTAACAAAATTCTTTTATTTATAGTGGTAGTTTAATATAAATTAAATATATACCTCAACAAAACTAACATAAATTTTCTACCTAGCTCAAGTAATTGAGTGCTTGAATCTCTTTCAAAAGAGCTATGTTCAAACAAGCTCTTTTTAGATGTTTATTATTGTTTTTGTTTCTAAGATTGTGACACTTATTGTCACGTTGAGAATGACATTAATTTATTAACGATGAGTAATTAAAATATAATATTAAAAAAATAAAAGTTTGATGATTAAAACAAAATTAAGGTGATAAGTGAATGACTATATAGATAATTTATCCTTGATTTTATTGGCCTTCCTAGGTAACAAGTTTATTGGTCACGTATCATGTGCTGGGTTAGGATGAGTATGGTGAGATTAGGTTTTTTAATCTATCTGAATCTTATCTAAAATTTAAATCATTTAATCCCAATTTTTGAAGGATCTCATTCGATTTAAAATCCGATCTAAATTTTGGAGTAAAAATTCGCACTTAACTCATTTCAAATAAAAAATTCATTTTTTTTATATAAAATAAGAACTTAATTAAAAATAATATAAAGAGAGTATTTATATAAATCAACTTATCTTAGTGGTTAAAAGAATTGTTGTTGTTCCTAGAGTTTACATGTTCGAGCTCCAGCCACTGCAAGGGTGATTGAACATTCATTGTCAAATGATTAAGATTACTTAAAACATATATTACTTTGAAATCACATTTAACTTATATATATATATATATATATATATATTATAATTATCCCTAAATATATAAAAATAATTATAATATTATATTAAGTCAGATTTTTATTATAAATTCAAATCTGACATTGCCTCATCGTTTTTAAGAAAACTCCCCTAATTTTTAACAACAATAAATGTAATCTGATCGGGTTAAAACTTAAAAGACAAATACAACAAGTTATATATTTATAATTTAATGAAGTGTAAAATTATAAATACTTAAAACTATATACAAAGATAAGTTATACAAAAAAATAATAATCCCTAAAATAATTTAATTTGTATTTTTCTTCACGAGAATTTTATAACGAGAGAGTATTTATAATTTTGAAAGATTTATAAACAATAGACTTATTTATATTTCAAATACTGTAAGGGTGCGTTTGGTTAACGGAATATAAGATTACCAACGAGAATAAAAGATTACCAGGGAATAGGATTACTGAGAATATTGTATTTTGTATTTGGTTGGTTTAGCATGAATGTAAGATTACCGTTTTGGTTAAAGGAATAAAAGATTATTGGAATGTATATTTGACCAAATTATCCTTATTATATATTTGTTTTTTTAACAAATTGAAAAATATTTATAGATTTTCTTTAAAAATTAAAATTCATAAAAGTTATATAATTTTTTTATAAAATTGAAAATATAAAAAGGTTTAATAAAAGGGTAAAATTTTATTTTAACCTCTAAACTTCATATAAAATTTTAATTATATACTTTTTTTTTGTAAATCTAACATAATTTAAGGATAAATATGTAATTTAACTTTCGTAGAATTTTTATTATTCAATGACAGAATAAGGATATTTTTGAAATAAAAAATAATTTTAAGGGCATTTTAGTTCAAAACGCCGGTAATCCAACAATACCTAAGGAAATGGAGGTAATGACATTCCCGGTAATATACCCAAAAAAATCTACTATTGATAATATAAGATTACCGGGAATAACATTATCGACCAACCAAACGGGGGAATGTAGATTCTATTCTCATGGGAATCTCACATCCCTCTAACCAAACACGCCCTAAGTTATATTATGGTTTTAATTAACTTTATAATACAATTTAAAATTTATTTGAATTTTTTTAGTCGAGTGAAATTTATAAAATCTTAATCAAATCGAGTTGAGTTTTTAAAATTCGAACAAAATTATTTGAATTTATATTTAAACTTAATTATAAATATTTATAATATTATAATATTATTTAATTATAATTTAAATAACTTTTTACACAATAAAAAGATATTTCTTCATTTTTTTCGATATACATACAATACATAGATGTTTATAATTTAAATAGTTTCTTCTTTTGCCCCAGCAGTAACCATCTCCTCTGACCGTTGACCAACCAATAAGTTACCGAGTTCAAATTGTAAACGGAAGAAATAATTTTTCTTCTTCATAAATATACAATTTTTATGAATTAAAGAGGATTTCACATTGGGCCGTTTTCTTCTTCATAGCTGATTCGAACCTAACATCTTTCTTTTTCGTCCCAACTTCGCCTCCTTTTCTCTCTCTGTCTCTTGATTTGAACTGAAAGAGACCCCATTTCTTCATCAACTCCTAATATATTATACAAAGAAACCAAAGTCTTGGCCATTGAACCCTTGAATTCTAATTATTTCTCGGTGTTAAAAAGAAAACCCATATTTCGTTCTTTTTTTTTTCTCTCCCTCTTCTGTTTCTCTAAAACCCTCCACATCCTTATACTGTTGAATTTAAAGCAACATTTCCATCTGGGTTTTCTTCATTTTCCTCTCCCCTTAACTCTCCATAAGTATTTTAGTTTTGTTTAATACAAAAAACGGGGGAAGAAACTAAACACAAAGAAGCAAAATGAGAAAATGAAGTTTGTTGGCAAATACGTGAAGAAAGAGTTCAAAGAATTTGGTCTCCACTCGGGCACTGTTAATTCCTTTGATTCTTCATCTGGGTTTTTCGAGATCCTTAACGAGGACGGCCGTTCGGAGGAACTTAACTTTCATTAAGTTGCTTCTCTTGCATGGCTGATGCTTCTAACCCAAACCTTGAGCCGAGATCCAAACCGGAGTTTGAGGTTGTCCGTGAGAAGCCGAGGGTTGGAAGGCCCAGGAAACGACGCCGTGTTGAGAGGAAAGTTCGTGTTTTTCCAGGTACTGCAAATAAAAAAACCGTAGCTATTAATAAAGGTTTGAATTTGAGTACAAATGTTGATCTGAATGAAGGGTTTACTGGGGCCTTGACGGAGAATGAGGGTATTGATGGGAATTTGAGTGAAATTCTAGATGAGAAGGGAATTGGATCCACGACGGATTTGAATTTATATAGGAATGGGGATATGGAAATGAAAAATGGGTTTGACTTGAATTCTTCTGGGTTTGATTTGAATCTTAATGATACTCATTGTAGTAGTAACTATTTAAATCATAATGGAATTTCTTGTGGTGAGGGAGAGAATGTGAAGAAGAGAGGGTGTATCGATTTGAATTTGGACCCGAGTTGTAATTTAGATGATGATGTCAATCTTAATTGCAAAACCCAAGGGAAGGAATGTTGTTTTGATTTGAATTTAGGGGCTGATGAGGAGGTTAACAAAGATGCTATTGATGGTATCTGTGGATGGCAAGTAGAAGTGAGAGAATCTACTACTTGTGCCGAGATACTTAAAGAAGCACAGATAATGGAACAAAATGATGTTGCAGAGGGTGTTTCTAACAAGGAATTGAAGAGAGATCATCCAGGTTTTGGGTCTGTTGAAGGAATCCTTGAGGAGGGTGCTGTTGTGGATCTGGATGTCGTCAAGGCTGATGGTTCTGGTGGAGTTGGGTTAGAGTGTGTTCCTGAGCTTGGTGCTGCAGTAATTGATGGGTGCCGAGTTGATATCGAAAGCGCATTCAAACAAGCTAGTGGTCGGAGAAAGAGAATAAAGGTTGGAAAGGACTTGGATTCTTCATCAGAAAGGGTCTTAAGAAGAAGTGCTCGTAGAGGGTCTTCTAGAAATCATGTTCCAAGCTCACCACTACCTGCAACAACATGTGCTATTTCTGGTTTGGCACCATCTCCTTCTGTTACTGCAGTAGCAGAGGAGAAACCAATTAGGTCATGTCGTAGAGTGTCTGAAGATCCTATTGTTCTTCCTCCAAAACTGCAATTACCACCATCTTCCAAGAATTTGAATTTGGATGATATTTCTGTACTTGATATTTTTTCTATTTATGCATTTTTGATGTCATTTAGTACTTTATTATTTTTAAGTCCCTTTGAGTTGGAGGATTTTGTGGCTGCACTGAAGTGTCAGTCTCCC